CCCCCCCCCCGCTCCCCCCCCCCCGCCCGGGACCCGGGGGGGGGATTCGAGCTGTTTCCTCCACTTAGAGGTGGGATGGGGTGGGGGTGGGCGAGCCAGTCAGGCGAACAGCTCCATTTAACAGCTACAGGGGGGCCAGGCACGGTGGCTCACGCGTGACGTCCCCGTACATTGGGAGGCCCAGGTGCGAGGACTGCCTGAGCCAGGGGGTTCGAGACCAGCATGGGCAACTTGGCAAGATCTCGTCTCTGCAGTAAATCCAAAAATTCGCCAGACGTGGTGGCGCATGCCTGCTGTTCCAGCTACTTGGGAGGCTGAGGCGGAAGGATCACCTGAGCCCAGCGGGTCGAGGCTGCGGTGGCTGTGAGCATGCCCCTGCACTCCAGCCTGGGTGACAGAGTGAGACTCTGATTCATAAAAATAAAATAAAATAAAATAAAAGAGAGACTGGGCGCAGTGACTCACACCTATAATCTCAGCACTTTGGGAGGTCAAGGTGAGAGAACTGCCTGAGCCCACGGGTTCGAGACCAGCCTGGGCACCTTGGTGAGACCTCATCTCTACAATAAATCAAGAAAAATTAGTCAGGCGTGATGGCGCGTGCCTGTAGTTCCTGCTACTTGGGAGGCTGAGGTGGAAGGTCTGCCAGAGTCCAGCAGGTCAACACTGGGGTGACCATGAGCCTGCCACTGCACTCTAGCCTGGGTGGCGGGGTGAGACTCTGACTCAAAAAAAAACAGTCCACAGAAGGAGGGGGGTGACTCCCCGCATCGTGGGAATGAAAAACAGGGAAGCAGCCCAGGTAGCTGTGGGAAATGCTGTCAGCACCTCCGCCATGGGCGCACGCGTCCACAGGGACCGCAGGCAACGCCCACCCCCCTACCTGGCGGCTCTCGGGGTCGGAAGCCCCTCACGGGGTCTCACAGGCTGCCGTCGGGCACCGGGGGCCTGCCTGTCGCCTGGAGGCTCCAGGGAGAACCTGCCTCTGGGACCACTCAGGCTGGGGTCCCCGCGTCCTTGTCCCCGCCCCATGGCCCCTCCACCTTCTGACCAGCAATGGCGTGTGGGCCTTTCGCACTGGCCAGTGTCTCCGCCTGTTCCACCTTCTTCCAGCTGGAGAAGCTCTCTGATTAGGTCAGGCCCCCCAGGTCGCCCTCCTGTCTGGGGGAGGCAGTGTGTTCTAATTGTGGTAAAATAGACATAACGCAAAACTTAGTCACGCTAAGTGTGAAGCTGGCGGCATTAAGGACACTCGTGACACTCACGCCTGTCATCCCAGCACTTTGGGAGGCAGAGACGAGAGAATTGACTGAGCCCAGGGGTTCGAGGCCAGCCTGGACAACTTGGCGAGACCTGGTCTCTACAATAAATTAAAAAAAAAAAAAAAAGTACATATATAGGAGACTCACATTGTCATGCAGCCATCACCACCATCCTTCCCAGAACTTTCTCACCCCCCCAGACCGAAACACTGTCCCCGTCTCTCACTCACTGCCCATCCCCCACCCAGCCCCCAGCGCCCACCAGTCTACTGTCCATCTCTGTGGGTTTGGTGGTCCTGGGGTCCTCCTAGGAGTGGGAGCCCACAATAGCTGCCTTTTTGTGTCTGGATCGTTTCACGAGCATCATGTCGAGACCCGTCTGCGTCGTAGCGTGTGTCAGAATCTCTGAAAGAGAAACTTGATTCTACTCACCATGATCTCAGAGTCACATAGACCAGAATTAAGGCAGGACGATGCGGGGAGCGTTCTGGGGGATTCCGCCTGCCACACCCACGCTCACTGGACATTCAACCACCTTGGCCTGGAATCCCAAATCCCGTGTGGAACACCAGGTGGGCCCAGCCTCGGCCAAGGCTCCGGGGTAGCTGGCAAGAGAGAAGAAAGGGCCCTGCTGCCTTCTGGGGAGGCGTGGTCCTGCCTCCTGCCCAGGCCGACAAAGGGGCCTCCCCCCGAGTAAGAGCTGTCCCGTGATGGCGGCCGAAGACTGACAAAAGCGCCTGGAGTCCACTCCTTGTCTTTTCCATGACGCACGCACACACACGTTCCCCCCACACAGACTCTCACACACAGGAACACCCCACCTAACGTGCAGCGAGCCCGCCGTTGAACACGTGCGGGCCTGGTCCCCAGGGGCAGACAGCACCACAGGTCACAAGTTCCACATCTGTGACATCCGGGTCTCTGTCTATGGTGCTGGTCCACTGGTTCCATGCGGGTCACCTCCCTGTCCTGCCACCTGGGAGGTCAGCGTCTGCTCCACCACGAGGGGGGGTGAGAGGTGGGCGGAGGCATGTTCGAGTCCGTGCATGTTCTTACAGCCCCACGACCAAGGACACTCTCCCAGGAGCTGTGGACCACCCACCCCTGAGGGGGTGGTCGTGACACCGTGGGTGTATCCCCGCCCGCCCCTTCCATATTTTCTCCGCGGTGACCCCGCTTTTTCCTCTGGAGAGGACCTGAGTTCTCGAGGAAGCTTGCCGCTGTGGCCTTCCAGCTGCTTCCCTCCCTGCATGTGGCTGGGAAAGGAAAGACCCCAGGCCACTCAAGCCCACATCGAGTGGCCGCCTCCCTGTCTCGCCCCAGGGCCACCCCTGGGGCTGCCTGATGGTCTTTTCACCCAGGGTCACGGGAGCCCAAGATGGCCAAGTGACATCACAATTTCCAATTCAGTCACGCCATTATTCTGTCTTCCGGCCAAAGCATTCCTTTGTGAGTTACTAAAATCGCCAAACCAGAAGGGTCGGACTCCTGAGGCCGTGAGCCAACATGGCTGTGAGCGGCTCCTTGGCTGTGGTGACAAGCTGCCCTCGCCTCTGGCCCGTGTCCAGCCTGCGGGCTCCGGTCTGGGGCAAGCAGAACCGTCCCTGGTGCTGGCGCTGTATCCTGCGGGACGCCACTGCAGTCTTGCGGTGGCGTCTCCCCGCTGTGGTCCCAAATGACCCTAAATGGTACCAAAAAACCCAGACACCATCCCACAGGGCTGGTCCTTTCCAGCCACAGGGTAGGAGGAAATCTTAGTGAATTCCGTGGCATCTGCTGTCTTATTCCTTCAACTGTCAAGTCCATTTTTCGGCCAGAAACCATGACTCGTGGGGGCCGGATGGCTGAGAAGCCTCTGGCCAGAGAAGTGGGGGTGCCAGCGGGGGAAGCAAATCCAAACCAAGCAGGGGCAAGGCGGTCAGCCAAGTCCCCACCGATTCCCAAAGGAAGGCGCCCGACGTCACTCAGCCTGCAACCAGGTCGCTGGCCGGTCTCCCTCGAGGGGTGGTGCGAGATAGCCATCCAGAGTCTCACGTGGCTACTGACTCGGGCACACGGCCGTAGGGGTTTCTGGGTGAGCCTCGGAAGGCTGAGGCCCCGTGGCTGGGCCGGTGGGCGGCCCCCGCCCCCACGTCTGCCGCTGGGCAGCACTGGATAGCATGGGGGAGAGGCTGCCCGCCGGCCACGGCGTTCCGAGAACCCTCTGAGTCCAGTTTCCCAACTCACTTGGCAATGGAGCATGCTCAACATGCCTGGCTACAGAACCCAGCAGGCAAACGATGCCAGGATCAGGCTGCACCTGACACCTACACACAGGGCTCCGTCTCGACCTGGGCCTAGGGGAAGCCACACGTTGTGTCGCAAGGGGAAAAACGCTCCTTGCAAGAGGGAATGGCTCTGACCCTCTTGGACGGGCACCATGACCCTCCACCATGATTGTCTCAGGCTCTGAGGGCACCGCGGTCAGCCAAGACACCGCTGAGACCCTCGAGTCCCTGGGTCACAGCAACCGAGGGGCACAGCCTGCCTGCTCAGAGCCTCTGTGATTATGGTCACAGCCAGAATAACGACAGTGACACTCACTATTACTGTTTTGTGGGGGTCAGAGTCTCACTGTCACCCAAGCTGGAGTGCAGAGACGCACTCACGGCCACTGCAGCCTCGACCTGCTGGGCTCGGGCGATCCTTCTGCCTCAGCCTTCCAAGTAGCTGGAACCACAGGTGCATGCCACCATGCCTTGCTAATTTTTTTATTTATTGTAGAGTCGAGATCTCACCATGTTGTCCAGGCTGGTCTCGAACTCCTGAGCTCAGACAGTCCTCTTGCCTCTGCCTCCCAAAGTGCTGGGATGACAGGCATGAGCCATCGTGCCTGGCTTGATAGTCACCATTATTGCAGCAAGTTCCCTGCCTACAAATGAGTTCCATTCTGAGAACGCCTTCGTAGGTTCGACTTGTTCCTAAGTCCAACTAACACAGTCGGCTACGTAGCACCAGCGACATCACCGTGGCTTTTACGCTCGCTTCCGGACACCCTGAGCTTGGACCAAAGACTCTGTACTACTGTGCACTAGACAGACTGTAAGGTACACAAAACCACCAGCACTTGGAAAGGATGTGCGCTCGTGACCATGGACACCAGAGGTGTGAACTGACTTCAGTGATTGGACACGCCAACACACGTTCACATCTTTGAAAGTTTGCACCTTGAAGGTTCATAAGTAGGGGACTCACTGCACTTATTAGACCCTGTGAGCCCCTTTGCTCTGCCCTCCTGCTCTAAGCTGGCACCCCATCAGGCTACCTGGATGCAGGTAGAGGTATACACCCAAGGGTGGGCTCTGTTTCCTCCAAAAGGTGTGCACAGACAGCCCCAGTGGCTGCCTGGTCCTTCTCTGGAGGGAACGTGCCGGAGGAAGGAGGAGTCGCTGTGTCTGTGGGGTCCACGTCTCCCTCTGCCACAGTTTTTACCAAAGCAATCTGCAACGTCCTCCTCTCCAGGCCCCATCAGCCCATGGCCTGTGGGCTGAGGAAGTGGTCATGGTCCATGTGGACTAAATGGTGACCGAGGGCCATAGTTCAGTTGCCTGAGGCCAGACAGTATTGCTGTCCCTTCCAGGTGAAAGCAAACTGCCTTTAAGGTGTCCTGCGCCGCCAGGCATGGTGGCTCATGCCTGTAATCCTAGCACTTTCGGAGGCGGAGGCAAGAGGATTGCCTGAGCCCAGGGGTTAGAGATCAGCCTGCGCAACTTGGCCAGACCTCATCTCTACAATAAATCAAAAAATTAGCTGGGCGTGGTGGTGCATGCCTGTAGTTCCAGCTACTTGGGAGGCTGAGGTGGAAAGATTGCCTGAGTCCAGCAGATGGAGCCCAGCAGGTGGCCATGAGTGTGCCACTGCCTTCTACCCTGGATGACAGAGTGAGACTCCAACTCAAAAAAAAAAGAAAAAAAAAACAGAAAAAAAAGTGTCCTGTACCTCAAGATAGACTTACAACAATGAACAGCAAAAACAGGTGTTCACTGACCAAATAACCACTGGCCAGTCCAAAAGCCTGCACTGATTTCCTCCAATAAAGAATATCTGAACCAGTCTTGGTGGCTCAGCCTGTAATCCCGCACTTTGGGAGGCTGAGGTGAGTAGATTGCCTGAGCCCGCGGGCTCGAGACCCGCCTGGGCAACTTGGCAAGATCTCATCTCTACAAAAAATCAAAAATAAGCTGGGTGTGGTAGCGCGTGCCTGTAATTCCAGCTACCTGGAAGGTTGAGGCAGAAGGATCGCCGGAGCCCAGCAGGTTGAGGCTGCAGTGGCCGGGAGCGGCCACTGCACTCCAGTCTGGGTGACAGAGTGAGACTCCAACTCAAAAAAAAAAAAAAGAATATCTGAAACTCCAGTTGTAGTTTCAGGACCTCCCCCTCTGAAAAACTCTGCTTTGAGCTCCCAAACCAGAGGAGGGCTGGCTGGACCCGGTGTGTGTGTGTGGTCATGGTCTCTGGGCTGTACCAAGTGTTTGTACCAATGGAGACATGGCAGTGTCCCTTCTTCACAATTTCACTTTCTATAGGTGAGCGCCCAGAGCTTTACCTACCTGCAGTCTGAACATAGGTGAGCACAAGAAGATATTCTGAGAGAGAGAGAGAGAGAAAGACAGAGAGAGACCACATCACATAACTTTTATGACAGTGTGTTGCCATGATTGTTTTATTAGTGATTTTGGTTGGTCTCTTGTGGTGTCTAATCTTTGAATGAGACCTCAGGTCAGGTATGCATGTATAGGAAAAGACGTAGTATTTATAGGGTTTGGTGCTATCCACGGGTTTCGGCATCTCTGGGGGATCTCGGAAGTATCCCCTGCAGATAAGGGGACTGCT